AGAGAGAGAGAGAGAGAGAGAGAGAGAGAGAGAGAGAGAGAGAGAGAGAGAGAGAGTTTCCATCCATGCACGCAGACAAATAGAGAGAGGCTACTTTGAGAGAGAGAGAGAGAGAGAGAGAGAGAGAGAGAGAGAGTGACTATCTCTCTCTCTCTCTCTCTCACACACACACATACACACACACACACACAACCTCCTGATCAGTCGGAAAATGACGATTATGACGACACAAAAAAAAAATAAAAAAAAATGCCCAGGCACTGTGACAACAACAGCCCCCCCCCCTGTTCGTCTCTTTCCTTGGCCGCAGCTGGCTGCGGCGGGTCCACTTGTTTTTCTAATAGCTAGACTAGATACAACACCTGTTCCGCATGCCAGAGAGCAAAAGGTTGCCTGCTCTGCCCGTTGCCAGCTACAACGTACTGAGTGCTGAAGAACACTTTTATTATCTGTTCGTTGTGTTGGAAAAAAGTGTTGCCTGCTCTGCCTGTTGAGAGCTACAGAGTACTGAGTACAAGAGAGCACTGGCACAATGACTTGTCCGATTTCTTTTTCCTTTTTGGATGGAGATCACCCCTAACATTATTGTATCCACCAGGATTTGGACTGAAAAGTTGAGAGCTCTCGGTTGTGTGTGCCATCCAGGCCCAATGCTGGTACCGATGGCTTTGTCTGTTATTGTTGGTTGATGAGAGTATCATTGGCCTTTTGATAAAGAGTGTATCATTTGTTCTGTTATGAGCTCAGTGAATGATTTCATAATACTGTTATGAATCTTATGATTCTACTACATTCATAATGCAAAACTCAAATTGCGAGAAAATTCAAGACTTGCTGAAACTCAAAAGAAGAACTGGAGAGAAATGAAGGACGGAACAGTATGAAAACATTGAAAAGAATAAAAAGAAGAAGAAGAATTACACAAGCTTACCGATGTCTTCCCCCTCACTTCTTCCTCCTCTCATCGCGTCTTCTACCTGACTCGTCTCGTATATTAAATGAGGAGAACAACTGAATGAATGAACAGGAATCATGTCCGAGTATTCCCCCTTATTGCCAGCACTCAAAGAGCCCTCCTTTCGGCCATAACCTCACTTCTCTCTCCCCGGTTGCAACTACCACTATGGCGGAACATCCATGCTCGTCACGATGTTCAAAGAACAACGCAATCACTACTATGTCTCTCCCATCTCTTTTTTTTTTTTTTTTTTTT